CTCTCGTAATTGATTTGAGTACTCTTACCATCTAAGATTGGAAAGGGCTAAGGACCAACTTTCACTGTATTCCAGACAGACAGGTGGCCTGTGAATTGTTACCTGTTCACAATCATATGCCTACACACATTGAGAGTAAGAGTTTAGAAACTCTTGTAGCAATTTGACAGAGTAGTTTTACATGTGCTGAATCCAATGATAAAATCATTGGAACCTATATTTTATGTCTTTTTTTCTATGTCTTTCTTTTTCTAAGATCTTCCTCACTTCTATGAACTGCAGCTACATATGAGAGAAGACACAATACAGAGTAGCAGGTCTCATGGGCCATGGGAGTCTTGCCCTTGTGGCTCACCACTTCTCCAGTGTCAGGAACAGATTCCTCCAGAACAAAGACGCCTTGGACTTTATTGTGCTTTTTAATGTGATTCAGCTCTATGAAAACCTGGTTGTGCATGAACTTGAGATCGATCCTTCTAGGGTGACCTGCAGCAAGCCTCCCTCACCAGTCTTCATGTCCTACACAGGGAACCTGCCACCTGATTCAGGCCTAGGTTTGATGCTTTGCTGTCAGGCGGTTTATGCCTTTTTCATCTCATTTTTCTAATAATTCTGCAGTGTTACAAACGCAGCCAGCTCTTGTTGAACATGAATTACTTTAAAATAAGAACAACTCTAATTCTAGGTTGAGGCCCCTCTATCTGAACACATTTTGGAGCCTTTAAGCCACACAGTAACTTGAACAAAGAAAGTTTAATATAAAGAATTATTTAGGTCATTTCAAAGAGAGCTTATGGGACCAAAACCAGGAGCTTTTAATTTTGTGATCTAACATTGAAGTTCTCCATAGGATGTAATAGACCCTCAATAGTGTTGTTTTCCTGAGGAGATAGATTTTTTTTTTTAAGGAGAAGAATTATGAACTACAACAGGAGATTGGAGTAATGAGGCTTTGGCTAATAACAAGTAAATAAAACTAAAAAATACAGGAATCCCTGATAAAAGAAGCAGCCACCACCCCCAGGGCTGAGATCTATACTCTATTGGACATTGGACAGGGCACAGCCATGGCTCACTGCATGGCAGAGAAGCCACACGGGTGGGACTTGCTTTAAGTCAGCCCTCTGGAATCTGTCCGCTGAGGTGCCTGGGAAAGCTATTCACAGAGAGGTATCTCACCAGAAACACTCTACTTCAAAACTGCCTGAAAGATTCTGGGGAAAACCGCAGGATGCTGCTGGCAGCTGTGCACTGCAGGAGCCTGATGCTGAAATGCAGGCTGTTGTAGGAGCCTACCAAGCTGCTGTACCAGAACCAGGAAGCAGAACTCTTTTCTCCTGCAGTGTCTTTCCAGCACCCTCTACTGAAAACCTTAACATCGTGCCAGTTGACAAAGTATAATTATTTTGAAAGGCTCAGATCCATTTTCACAGAGCATGCAAAAAGTGTGAAGTTGGATCTGAGAATCGATATTTTGATAACCAGCCCAGTGACTGAAAAATACAAATAGTCATGACATCCTAAGTGAAACATTACTAGAAGACACAACTGCTGCCAAAATAGTATATGATATGTTTCAAAGCCAAATTTTAATGTATTAGGTATTATTTGTACCATTTATACTATTTTTCTCTCTTGATTGAGATTGAATTTTTTTTCACTTTTAATAAAAGTGTCAAGAATATTGATAAAGCTGGGGTGCAGCAAGAAGAAATGAAACACCTTTTGAGTAAAACTATTAGTTCAATAGAAACTATAGAGGCAGGAATATGAAATATAGGGAGGATACAAAGTTGTCTGAATATCCTTTTTATACCTTCAGATCATTATATATTCCATCAGTTTCATCTTTAAGGTCTTCTACTGGCACCAGAATCCACTGGCTTCCTTCTACTGGTACACAGCTGTTATCCTAACACCATCCTTCATTATTCCCTGTTTAATATCCAGGAGCATTCTCTTTCTTGATACATTGCCTTGTTTGTTGGGGCACATTTTCCAGCATCATTCTGAGAAAGGTTGCATGGGGGATAAATTGTTTTGAGACCATGTATAGCTGAAAATGTCTATTCTTTGCTGACATTTGATTGGTAGTTTGGCTGGTTATAAAAAATCTAGATTGGAAATATTTTCCTTCAGAATTTTTATTTCCCCATGGCCATTTAACTTCTTTTTAGAAGTGTGAAGCCATTCTGACTCTTATTCTTTTCTGTATGACCTGTTTTTCTTTTTGGAACCTTATATGAGAATTTTTTTTTGTTTCCATTTTTCTGAAGTATTATGATAATAAGCCTTAGAAAGGGGCTATTTCATCCACTGTTATGAGCACTTACTTGAGAATATTCTCTTTTTTGCAGGGGTATCCCTGTTTTTCAGATGTTCTTCAGCCTTCTGGACTGATCTTTTTATTTCCTTAACTTGTCCTCCTATTTTCTACCTTTGTCTTTTTTGCTTTGTTTTCTAGGAAACTTATATATGTTATTTTTACATTGCATTTAAAAAATTTTTTGCAGTCCTTAAAATTTTTTGTTATCCTCCGAATGTTCCTTTTTTAAATAGCATCCTATTCTTGTTTCATTAGTGCAATATCCTCTTTTCTCTGGGAATATTAGTGAGAGATTTTCTTTCTTCCTTGACATTTCATTTTGTATATAACCTTTACTTCCTCCACACTTTCTTTTGTCCTGTTGGTTTTGGTTTCTGTCATTCTTCCTCAGACATCTGTTGAGTTTTGTTTGCTCAGTTTTAAAGAGTGGTCCTCTAAAGCAGAATTTCTTAACCAGTGCGCCAAAAAAAATGTTGCAGGTGTGTGAAGATAATGATGGTGTCACCCCTAGAGTGTCTGGGCAGCATCTGGAAAGGCTGGGCCCTCTGTCCACCCCTGGCCTACATACGGCCTCATCTGTCTACCCCACAGTAAGATTACATTTTCTACGAGTGGTGTGACATGAAGAAGTTTCAGAAGTGCTGCTCCAAAATGTATTGGAAGCTGAGAGCCTGTAAGTTAGGCTTATTGACTATGGGTTTCACTGTTGCATGATCAAGATGGGTATTTTCTTGGGGCAGATCTATGTCCATATCTTTAAGTCTTTCCTTTTGAGCTGATCAAATCCTCCAAAACAGTCTTCCAGTTTTTTGCATGGAGCATATAGGTCTGGCTTTCAGCATTTTAGGAGCAGAGTTGAGAAAAAAGACTGATAGTCTCAGCATTCAGTATGTAAACACTCTTAACTCAGTTTTTGGCACAGTATACCTACTTCAAATGTACCTAATATCACCCTGCCCAGAGACCCACCCTCAGTTTTATACTTCAGACTATAAATCACTTCCAGTGGAGCTGGGGAGAACCTTACTAAACTGTGCAGGAATGTTGTGTATATATGTGGAAGAAGGATCTGGGAATTCAACTGTTTAAGACTTTGTCAATCCATGCTTCTATTTTTAGCTCATCTTTTACTCCTCTTTCCACAGCTTCCCCATACTACCAATTCTGACCCTTTGGGTGGTCTTAAGTGCAATTTAGGCTGTGTCTTAGCTTTCCTCTGCTAAATTAGGAGTATCTTTTAGACCTTGGATAAGGTGCCAGTTCTTAAACAGTACACAAAAAGCATTGACCGTGAAAAATTGTTCTTCAGATTGTTAACCACCTTAAGAAAAGTGTCAAGTCTACCAAAGGATTAATGTCAAGACTGTAATAAAGCACTTCTCCACCTCAATATGAGGAAGACAGTGAGCTCAGTAAAAACCTGAAGAAGAAACTTGAATATGTATTTCCCAGAAGAAACACATATGACCACAGATATAAGAAAAGATGTTCAGTACCTGGATTATGAGGGAAATGCAGATCATGACACAATGAGAGACCATATTTTACTCACTAGATTGGCAGAACTTAGAAAGTATGACATTTAAATGTAGAGTTTGTGGATCCACAGATTCTCTTACACATACTAGATGAGGCTGTGAACTGCTCTACTTTGGAGAGTAATTTAGTGTCATCTCATACTTTGGGGAATAATTAGCATAATTCTACTCCCAGGGCTACAACCAAGAGAAATTTGTTTTGCCTAATAAAAAAGGAGACATGCACGAGAATAGTCATAGCAATACTGTTCACAGTACCAAAAACCTGGAAATGGCCCAGAGGCCCATCAACAGGAAAGAGGAATATTGTAAAGCAGAAAGAACAAAGAACCAATGTGATACACAGCAATATAAATGACTCTTAGCAATATAATATTAAATGAAAAAAATGCCCGCAAAATTACAGCATGAAACTTTTATAAAATTAAAAACAACTTAAAATTATATATATACATTTATTTATGTATTATATATATTCCATGGGTACAATAATAAATTTGTATATATTACATACTTAATATAATAATGTATTTATATGTATTCTGTGGATACAGTCATAAATTTGTACGACTATAAAATTTATAAATATTACATATTTAATGGATATAATAATATATATATTTCATGGATACAGTAATATAAAAGAAAGCAAAGAAAAATTGAACATAGGATTTAGGGTAATAGTTACTTCAGATGGGGGAAGCAAAGGAATGGATTGTTGAAGAGGGCCATTGGTTAGAAGCAAGTTATTGTCAGGGTCATAGCTTTTGTTTTAGTTGGTAGGTTTGTGGGGTCCTTGTTACATTATTGAAAATAATTGGATAATTAAATACATGAAAAAATAAGCTGAAAGACCTGGGGTCCCCAAGGTGAAGTAGAGATCCTTGTTCATATGGATCTGAGTTCTTTGGTTGTCTGTTTGTTTTTTAAGAAGTTGCATTCAGAGTCCTGGAACAAATGTTTGCTTAAGAGTTGAAAGTTATAAAAAAATACATTGATCTAAAGTTAACAAACTGAATTTTCTGGGTAGGGTTCATATACTGTTAATTACCATATTCTTTATAGAGTATTTAGTACATAAATATTTATACCTATTTGTTCTTTCATAGAAATTTTACATTTTTTTCCTTTCTTAGGACAAAGTTAAACTATAATCCTCCAAAAGATGATGGATCAACCTATAAGATTGAACTTGAAGGGATATCGGTAATGGTTATGAGAGAGATCCTGGATTACATCTTCAGTGGGCAGGTATGATGAGATACAAAGGAAGGAAGACTAAATAGAGGCTTCTCAAGCTCAGGGTGAGGGTCTCCTTTCCTCCATTCTATGGCCACGTTGAACACTTCATCATCATCTTCTGTCACTGTGTGCTTGACTAGTATCTCCTGCTGCTAATGGTGCCCAACTGTGTTCTACTGGGACTCTGCTCTTTACAGAACAGCAGACTGAGTAAGATCTTACCCAGCCTCAGTTTTTTATTTTACCATCCTGAGCTCCACTTTCCAGCATAAGATATGAAGAACGTGGGGTACTCCCTTCGCTGTTGTCATTTTGTTTTTAAATCTCAATTCCAATTTTGCTTTTTATCCACTGTTGAGGAACTCATTCTGTCTCCAAAGCATGGAAATTGGAGCTTCCTTGGGTGGGGGATTCTCTTGTAGAAATAGACTTTTAGACTCACACAAATGATTGGCACCTGCATTGTACTCATGATGCCTTGGTCCTGTTGCCTCAGCAGGACCAACATCCCTGTACCAACCCCATTCATTCTTGCTGATTTCCCTTTATTCCCATTTATGTTTCTGGGGATTTAATGAAACCTGGGAGGAAAGTGATTAGACTTCTCTCCTTTTCTTTGCCCTCCTTCAGCCCCCGTCCTCCCAACCTGCTATTATGTAATTTAAAGTATAGTATGAGGATTCATAAGAAAAATCTTAGGTGTGAACCAGGGCTCGTTTTTTGTTTTTTTTTAACAGGAAGAAGTTAGTGAGAATGCATTTTATCTTCATTCCTTTTGAGAGCTATTTCTTACTGTCTTCTTTATTCCTTCTTCTTATGTTACTTTTCCTTTTTGTAAAGGCTGTGTCTCCTACACGTTTCTAAGTATTCTGAGTGTGCTGCTTACTTTCTCTAAATATGCTCGTTCTGCCCAGAGTCAGACTCGGTGACTGTCATCCTTTTTGAAGTCTTCCGTTTAGTTTCATGATGTTACCTTCTTTTCTCTGAACTCTAGGTGGTGGGTATGCGGATGTAAAGTTATGTGTTGTATGATTATTAACAATAAATGAATTTAAATTAATTTGGGGGCAGCCCTTAAAATACTGGAGATACTCTGTAGCATCACAAAATAAGACTTAGGACCAACCTCTTATCTAACTTGTAAAATCGATTCAACAGCAGTTATAACAAGTTATAAGTCAATAAGAGTTTATTCATGTTAAGACTTAGGCTTGAAATTTGAAACTTTATTTACAGATTTTGTTCCAAATTTAAATTAATTGTGGTTTTAAAATCACAGTTACAAGGTAAGTTATAACAACCTGATTTGGCAGTTTAGTTTTATGGAGATGGAATTTAGTGGGGGTTTTTTTTACATGCCTACATTTGAATAGTTTACAGCTATCCACTATCTGGTTAAATTTAATGTTAATGGGAAATTTCTCCATACTTGTAGCTTACTCCATACACTTCTTTGTACTTTTGTTGCTCATTTTCTAAGGTGATTGGCAGTTACACATTTTTTTTTTTTATCTATGGTACACAATGTGTAAAACGTAGTAAAATGTTTCTTGCTGTACTCTGCTCTGAAATCTCCTCACATTTCCAAATGGAGGATTGGATACCATTCTTGGGAGAGTCTGGACCGCCTGTGATCATGGCAATATTTTAGAGGCCTGTTTCTTTACTGTTGAATAGAAAAACTGTCAAGTGGATGGAGGAAGAGGCATCGATCAAAAAACTGAAGAAAATTAAGGAAAAGTAAATGTTCAAAGTGATTTTTAAAGTCTTATATTAGGGATTCTTTCCAGAAAGTAGCTTTGGGGCCAAATTGTATCTGTTGTACCAAGCCGAGTTGATGTTTGGTTTTCCGACAAGGCTTCTGAGGCAGTGTGGATCCCCTTTCTTCAAGGAGCTAAAATTCAGTTTGGTATTCCATTTGGCAAAGGAGTGAACTTCACATAGGGTGTCCCAAAAAATTATATACACATACATTTTTTTAACAGCTCAATTGATGTTTCTTTCTTTTCAGATTTAATCCATTGGAATGAATAATTATTTAAAGTGTATATACATTTTTGGGAGGGACACCCTATATATTGAAGGCAAGATTTTCCACAGTTCTGGTGCTACTACTATTTAAAGAAATCATCTTCAGTTTACCGTAGAATACAGAACTTTCAATTTCCTGAGCATTTCGGTCATTTAAGGTTTTTCTCTAAGTTGAGTATAGAAGTGAGCAACTAGACATTCACCTTGAAGAGTTATTGATCGTTAACGTTGGTAAAGCAAGGGAAGCAGTAGGAAAAGTTAACCGGCCATGTACAGCTTATGTGGTTCAGAGGTTCCTTGGGGCCCCCAAACTCTTCTTGGAAAAAAGTGCTATGTTAAACTATGAAATTGCCAATATTTCGTCATCTTTGACCTACAAAAATGGAGCTTTCATGTGGTTCAGCCTAATAGATTCGTGGTTTGGGTTTTAAATATATACATTCCAATATAAAATATTTATGAAATTCTTACAGATCCGGCTAAACGAAGATACCATCCAAGACGTCGTACAGGCAGCGGACCTGCTTCTTCTGACGGATCTTAAAACTCTGTGCTGCGAGTTTTTAGAAGGCTGCATTGCTGCTGAGAACTGCATCGGGATCCGTGACTTTGCACTTCATTACTGCCTGCACCACGTCCATTACCTTGCCACGGAATACCTGGAGACTCACTTCCGGGATGTCAGCAGCACAGAAGAATTCCTAGAACTGAGTCCCCAAAAGCTTAAAGAAGTGATTTCTCTTGAGAAGTTAAACGTTGGCAATGAAAGATATGTATTTGAGGCAGTAATTCGATGGATAGCACATGATACAGAATTAAGAAAGGTACCTGCAGTTTATGACATGGTCTAACTTTGCCTTTTTACTTATTTTATTGATTTAGTTATTTTTAATCCAAATTATCGATGTCTTATCTTTCTCCTTCAGCGTGAAAGACTTGCAAAGTTATCTAAAAGATACCTGCAAAACATCTTCCCATAGGATGATTAAAGCAGTTGGTGTTTCAGACCAGCCTACAAAAGCCCATGTAACAATATAGCAATGAAAATAAGAATACTTATAAGGAACATAATATTCTCTGTATGTTGTTTTTCATGGGAAAATGCATTTCAAGCTTAAGCTTAATATTATAGAAATGCAGCTTCCCTGTTTTCTTGCTTGCTTCATCTATCCCTCCTACATCCTTGGGCTAATCCCTACAGCAGCTCTAATGCAGGCAGTTGGGCGAGGGGGCACTTGGAGCTCTGGCACAGGGGTAAGGGGTGTGGGCACTCCCTGGAGTGACTGACACCACTCGGGAGAAAGCAGGAGAGCACTCTGGAGTTTTCATGACAATGCAGGTCCAAATAGGAAGGTTCTCGGAGTGGCACCCTGGGAAGGAAGGATCTTTGAGAATATCAGGCTTTAGATCCAAATTGTTAATACACTGGGGGAGGAAGCAAATCACAGGGCTTCAAGTCCAATACTTATAAATTAGATACTAGCTTCAATTACTATAGTCACGATGACAAATATATTAGGTTTTAAAGTAGTTTTTGAAATGTACAGTTGCATTTTTAATTGTTTTTGATAACCATTGACATGTTTTAATGATTGTCTTATAATTTTTTTAATTCTGTAGGCCTGTGAGTATGTCCAGAAACTATGCTTATAGTTATACAGTTGATGTTCTGTTTTCCACATTAGTTGGGTAAGTTAGGAAAGGAGACAGAACAGTTTCCAGTTTGCTGCCATTCACTGGGACCACTGTCAGTAGCTTCTCCCTTACCCTCCTCTTGCCTTAAAGTGATAGGGATGCTAAGGTCGCTGACTGCTGGAGAAATGAGCAGTTTTTCACCCTTTGGTTAATCTGAACGTGATACTGTAGAGACTGTTGCCTTTTAAGGCTCAGGCTATAAAAGAGTCTACTTTAAAATGACTGTTTCAAAGCCAAGAAAAACTAATCATTGAAGAGTTTCACCTTAGGCATGTAGAATGCAATAGTTGGTTCAAATTTAATGATGGAGCATGAAAAATACATAATTTGTATTTATATGCTAGATATTTTGTTTTCGTGTTGTTGTTTTTAATCCTCACCTGAGGATATTTTTTCCATTGCTTTTCAGAGAGAATGTAAAGGGGGGGTGGGACTCGATGTGAGAGAGACATATCGACTGGTTGCCTCGTACATGCGCCCCAGCTGGCGGTAGGGAGCAAACCTGCACCCGAGGTATGTGCCCTTGACCGGGAATCAAACCTGAGACCCTTCATTGTGCAGGCCAACACTCTAACCACTGAGCAACACCAGCCAGGGCTTTGTGCTAGATATTTTTTAACAATAATTAAGAAATAATTATATAATACTAAAGATTTTTTGAACTTTGGCTTTTCTGTAGTTTTCATATAATAATAATGTTGATATTTTTATTATCTAGTTTACCATATTATATCAAGCTATTACTGTATATAATGTTTCTATAAATGTTTAATTCACAGCACATTCAAGTATGTGAAGTAAAACAAATTATAGCAGAGTTCTTGCAAGGGTTCCAATTGCTATGGGAACTCTTTAGGATGTAAAGAAAGCTGCTTGAAACTTTGCAGTGATACATAAATATAAATATGAACTGCTGATTTTTTTTAAACAAACTTTTTTTTTTTTTTTTAATCAAGGCTATGGGAAGTAGAAGGGAAAGGAGCCAAGTAAGCATATTCAAGTGATACTGGCACTTACAATTTGCCTTTTGATAATCTATCAACGATGACAGTTTTCCATGAGTTGGGAAAAGTACATTCTAAAAGCTATGTGTTTCATTCTCCATTCCTCTCCCCCTCCTTTCTACCCTCTTCTGCAGGTCCACATGAAGGATGTTATGTCAGCACTGTGGGTTTCAGGGTTAGACTCCAGCTACTTACGGGAACAGATGCTGAATGAACCATTAGTACGAGAAATTGTCAAAGAGTGCAGCAACATACCACTGAGCCAGCCACAGCAAGGAGAGGCGATGCTAGCCAATTTCAAACCCCGGGGCTACTCTGAGTGCATTGTGACTGTTGGTGGAGAAGAAAGAGTGTAAGTATGGGTGTGTGTTGTTTGAAAGTGGTAAAAGGGAAGAGAGATTTCTATGTAAACAAGAATTCATATTTTTCAGTACCTAAAGCATAATAGCAGTAGATTTTTTTAATGGTTTAAACGTTATGTAGAGTTGGTAAAACTAGTCATAGTTATCATAGCAGAAAACTACATAAAACACATTAAATGCTAATCTATTTTTCTTTTTAGTTCACGGAAACCAACAGCAGCAATGCGCTGTATGTGCCCTCTTTATGACCCTAATAGGCAGCTTTGGATTGAACTGGCCCCTTTAAGCATGCCGAGAATTAACCACGGAGTGCTCTCAGCAGGTACCATTCTGTGGCAAATTTTTTCCTAAACACAGGATCAAGTAATGTGTAATTTCAGGGTTGTACAGAGTGACTCAGCCTTTTAAAGAGACAATTTTGTTATCTCTCTATGATGATATTTTCAGTGTAGCTCTAGCTTTCAAGGCTATGGTAAAAAGAGTCTTCTGTCAGTCCTTATTGTCCCCAAATCATAATATGTAGCTATTTTTCAGACTTTAGTAGCAGAGCATTTTACTTGATGACCTAACTGATAAAAGAGCAAAATTCAGTGAATCTTATCACTAATGAGCTGTGTGACCATACCTGAAACACAGTTTCTTTCCCATCATCTTTGAAATTCAATTTAGAATCACAGTATGCAACTATGTCTAAAATAAAAGTGTCTTGTGAAAGCAGTCATTTCATATGAAACTTTAGAAAACACTATAGCAATGGCTTAAAGTTATTTTACTACAGAAAGTATGTTTTAGTTGACCTTCGCAAGTTTGAAAATAGCTCCGCATTATTCAAAGTTCCTACTCAAGGAAATGGTGAAAAGGTTGTCCTTGCTGCATTACCACTGTTGGCGTCCTTTCTCTTAACCTTGGATCTGCCTTTTGATTTCACCCCACAAGTACTTCATTCTCATTTTTATCAGTAGTCCTCCTGGGATCCTTATTTTATAGTCTCTGCTTGCCCCCTAACATTACCTTAAAAATTTTTTATCTATATCACTCCACACCATATTATGGAAATAGCTAAATCTATACTATAGTATAGAAATGGGTAGAGGGAATCGACTTAAACATACTGAGGGAAGTAAAATCATCAACGTGACTCAGACTTGGCTGTCTCACCAAGGAAGGAATGAAATCTGATAAAAGATCTCAAATCCATTGCTATCAGAGAAGGTTTCTCCACATACTCTCTCTACAACTATGGCATTCATAGTAGACAGGAGATGGGTGTTGAACACTCAAGTTTCAACTTTGTGTGTCTCCTTTGATTTTTGCAGAAGGATTTTTGTTTGTATTTGGGGGCCAAGATGAAAATAAGCAGACCCTGAGCTCAGGAGAAAAGTATGACCCAGATGCAAATTCATGGACTGCGTTGCCACCAATGAACGAGGTAAAACATTGCTCTTTTATTTGTTTGGCATGTTTCTTTTTTCCTTTGGCATTTTGTTTGTTTTGCATTTGAGTGTAAGAAAAAATGTAGCAACCCTGCTAGGCCCCCCTGCCTAAGACGCTAGTGCCTGCCCTCTCAACTCTCCTCTCTATGCCTTTCCCTTGCTTAGTCTGACCTCCTTGCAGTCTCTCAGACCTTCTAGAAATGCTCCTGCTTCAGGACCTTTGCCAGATACCCATGTGGCATCCTCCTTGCTTCCTTCAGTGTTTGCCCATATAGCACCTTGTCGGCAACCTTCGCTCCAGCCCTCAGCATTCCTGTCTCTCCTACCCTACTTGCTCTCCCCTCAAACCATGTAGCACCTTCTCACATACTTGTTCAAACAGACTCTTTTGATGACGGGATTTTGTCTGTGTTTTGCACTCTATCTACAGTTCTAGAATATTTCTGGGTACACGAACACTAAGAAATATTGACAAATGGCCGGGCCGGTGTGGCTCAGTGGTTGAGCGTCAACCCATGAACCAAGAGGTCACTGGTTCAATTCCTAGTCAGGACACATATCTGGGTTTCAGGCTTGATCCCCAGTAGGGGGTGTGCAGGAGGCAGTTGATTGATGATGTTCCTCTCTCATCGATGTCTCTATCTCTCTCTCTCCCGTCCTCTAAAAATCAGTAAAACCTATTTTTAAAAATAAAAGAGAGCGAGAGAGAGAACAATGACAAATGAATGTGAAATACCTCAGGCTTCTGTCATTGCCGCTGATAGCCTTAGCAGCAACCTGTTCCTACCACCACCTCTGCCATAGGCATTCCTGTTGCTGTGGTTCTTGTCTTTCACACATCAACTTGTAAACACTTAATTATAGCCCAGTGCTGAACACAGAGAATCTTATTGAACCAGAAGTTAATAGTTCTTTTTCTTGTTTTGAGCTATTGTAAGTAAAAAGCACTGATTCTGACTATGAATTTACCATGCAGGTAATTCCCTTGTTTTGAGTAATTCCTAGGCTTGGGTTCTCTGTCTATTATGATAGACGAGTAAACTTCTAGGGAAAGCAGAAACATTTGAGAGAGAGGTTTTTGAGCATGGGCTTCTTTGCTAGAACCCTGGAATATAATGATATCTGTAATTTTTATTAAATGCATAAATATCAGCTTTTGATACAATAGTTGGCCTTTTGTATACAAAGATCTTTGACGTCTTTTCAGGCAAGACATAACTTTGGAATTGTGGAGATAGATGGAATGCTGTACATTTTAGGAGGAGAGGATGGTGACAAAGAGCTAATTTCTATGGAGTGTTACGATATTTATTCTAAAACCTGGACAAAGCAACCTGATTTGACCATGGTTAGAAAGGTGAGAGCTATATCTTGTGATTACAAACTGGATTTTAAAGTTAATGTTTGCTTTTTAATACAGTGTTTGCCTTTTAAACATATTCCTTTTAATACAATTGATAGTGTTAAAAGAATTAATGTTATAGAATTCTGCCTCTGTTTGTAGCTTGCCTTTGTTATCATCAGCCATACACCAAGGTAGGAAATGGAGGGTGTGCAAGTGTTTATCCTGACAGCGGGCTGTGTGTGTGGCACTGCTGTGTCCAGGGCCTACATTTGATAACTGCTTTGTGAGTGCACTAACCTAGGAAGCAGCCACATCTTCTAAACCTATTTTCTTAATCATCATGCAGGACTGGGAAGAAACATTAGTTTATAGGTAAAGAACTATCATTGCTCACTGGGTAAAATTTTTAAAAAAGGTCACTTTAGCTCTATAGAGCATCTATTTTTATTTATACTCCCTGTTGTAGGCAGGGAGTTCATCATCAAGCCAGAGCTTTGTCCAGTGCCATAGGTATGTACACTTTTAGGTCCTGGGATATAATCATAATATGTTCTCTCACTGTCTTTGTCCTTTCAACTAAATTATTTGGGCAGGAATTGATTGACATCTTGCTCAATGGAATCTAAATCTTGGAATCTTCAAATAGTGGTGAAAGGATAGAGACACTGAAAAGTTCCTTGAATATGAGGGTTATTTACTTCTCTTAGGGAAATAGTATTAGATGGAGTTAATTCTTTTCTGAGGATTAACAGTATGTGTATTACTTTGCTCTTCTCATTTTAAAAATCCTGTGTTGTAATATTGGAAAGCACCATAGTTTTACTATTAGAAATCAAATCCTTTTCCAAATACCTTGCAATGCTCTTAGATAAGTGAATATTAATCAATCTAACTTTAATAATAAATGTTGCCTCCCCACTGTTGCTTTCTTCTTTCAGATTGGCTGCTATGCAGCTATGAAAAAGAAAATCTATGCCATGGGTGGAGGGTCATATGGAAAACTTTTTGAATCTGTGGAATGTTATGACCCAAGGACCCAGCAATGGACTGCTATATGTCCGCTAAAAGAGAGAAGGTGAAAGAACATACATATGGACTTTATAGATTCCCCTGAACCTGACTTTTGCTCCTCCTTTCTTTTAAATGAATCTTTTATTTGACTTGGCTTTTAGTTTATATAAAATTAAATGAGTAATCCATTTCCTGAAAAGGGAAGATCCATGTATTCACCAAACACTGAATGTTACAGAGTTAAAACAAGCAGAAGAGGAATTAGGGAATCAGGTCATGAATTGTAAATCAAATGCCTAATTGGCTCTGTGTGGCCTTTCAGATTTGGAGCAGTAGCCTGTGGAGTTGCCATGGAACTGTATGTATTTGGAGGAGTCAGAAGTCGTGAGGACATCCAGGGTAGTGAGATGGTAACCTGCAAGTCTGAATTCTACCATGATGAGTTTAAAAGGTAATTATGAATGGTTTCATGTGGCTTCTGCAACTTTTTCTTTTTCCTTTCAAAGTCATGTTTTAGCTTTATTTAGTTTTGTTTTCAAGTTACTTCATTGACTTGTTATCAGTGGGGTTTCCTCCGTGTCCCACTAGTTGCCAGTGGAAGTGGGCTTCTTGCAGTGTCATGAGAAAAGGAATTTTCTGAGACTCACACGGGAGAATGAGTGATATTTATTTGCGTGGAATTGAACCCTAGAGTTTCCAAGGTCCCATCTCCCTCCATCCTGCCAAGGAAAAAATCCAGCTGTGTCTTCAGCAGAGCTAGGATTAAAGTCACTGCCCAGAGCCTCCACTCCATATTTTCACAGTCTAGTCCAGTATCAGGCTGTTAGCTTGTGTTCCCAGCTGCAATCCATTGTGTGTGGGGTCCACATGGCCGGAGGCGAAGCAGTATCTAGGGCCACATGGCTATGGAGGGGATGTGGGCAAGTACAAGGAATCAGGAACAAAACCAGAGGAATGAGAGAGAGAGAATTCCTGTGTCCCAGGATTATGTATTCCCAAATTTTCACGGGCTTGCATTGGCTCTGCCCCTCTAGCCAGTGATCTTTGTTCCCAGGTTAGACTGACAGGCAAGTATTTTCCCTATGTCACCCTGACTCTACTGGGCATGCATCCATCTTCCCCCTTTGTCCAGTCCCTTCCCTCAGTGATCTGCAGGAAATGGACCAGTGGTTCCTGGGGAGTATAAAGTTGTAGTTTCCTGGTGAAGCTGCCCAGATGGCCATGCTTATAATGTTTAGCCTTCCCTTTGCTCCTTTCCTATTATTTAATATTAATAACTAGCTAATTACAGTGGTAACAGAATTATCTCATCTACTTAGGAGCTGTGTCTAATGCATACTAGATTTTGATTCAGTGACTTCAGACGTATTGGTAACTTAAAGGAAAATCATAGAAAAGTGTTTCTAAAATGTAGTTCAGACCTTGACACTTTGTTGCTTAAAATTATTCATTGACTCCCTATAGCTTTTAGGAAAAAGTTTAAACTCCTTTACTTAGCATATTGCCTTTTGTGATGTGGCCTTTGTCTACTCTTTCTGCTACTGTTCAACCCAGATGCTTCACTTGAGTCACACTGAGTGACATTTTCCCCCAAACATGTCATGATTATCTCAGCTCTGCATTTATACTATTCCTTTTGCCTAAAATCTCCCTTCCCCCATTTATCCAGTTAATCTGGTCTCTTCCAAAACTCTGCTTAATTTTCACTCCCAGAGGTCTGATTGGGTTCCTCAGTCTGTGATCTCATAACACTCTGTACATGTCTCGCTCTTGCATTGTAATTGTTAACCGTAAGCTCTACCAGGGCAAGGTCCAACCATACCAACTTTAAATCGTAGCTTCAGCTTCATAACTGGCCTTTATTAGATAGTCAGTAAAATGCTAATTAAATGGGTGAAGTGTGGTGTCAGAGGCTACGACAGGCTGCCATATCTGTCTTATAGAGTAGGTAACATTCTTCCCTATCTCCTCCTCTTCCCTTCTCTCACACATTTTATTGTTAGAACCACTGAACAGTATTCTTATTGAAGTAATATGTTCAAATCCTACAGGGAAACTGCCATGGAAAATTAATCTTGTGATAGTGTTTCAATCATATTACCAGAAGGGGGTGCCATAATATAATGTTTAATTTCATATTTTTTATTGATTTTTAGAGAGAGAGGAAGGGAGAGAGAGAAACATCAATGTGATAGCAAAACATGGATCAGCTGCCTCCTGCACACCCCCTACCGGGGATCAAGCCTGCAACCCAAACCTGTATCCTGACTGGCAACCTTTCAGTGCACGGGACAGCACCCGACCAACTGAGCCACACCAGCCAGGGCCCATATTATTTTAGATTAGGGTAAGCAGTGAGCAGTTACCACGCTTTTAGAAAGATGTATAAATGTTACCTAACTTTTAATGTATTTTAAATTTAGGATATTTGCATAGCCCTTTCTTCCCTTCAATTACGGGAAGAAACTATCTAAGGAAAATTTATTAGACAGAGTAAGAGCAATTTAGAGGATGTTTCCTAAGGTGGGGCTAGGGAGGCAAAATTTCAGACTTTTCTAGTTTTCTCTTCCTTCACATATACTATGAGAGCTAACTGTCCAAGGTGTGAAGTAGTATATTAATTTCCTGCCCAAATGAGTCTCGAGATAGTCTGCCCACCTTTATTAACAAGTGGTGGTCAGTGTGTTTGGTTTCTGATAAAGTACTGATACAAGCCTTTCTATAATGGCTAAATTACTGTTTAGACAACACAAGCTAGAGAACTATAATTCACTGGAATAAACAAGGTTGCTTATGAGTTTACCGTTTTCTGTCCCTGTTTTAATTGCATAGGACTTAAATCTGGCTGTAAAGTTTCTCAGTCTGCCCTTGATATGTTAGAAATTGTTAGAACCTTTACATTTCTGTCAGGTTTCTTCAACTATTTATAGTTGATAAACTTTAAATGTCAGTGTATTGCTTTCAGCTCATAGTTGTGAAACCTAAGAGAATTGCTCCTTCCTTGCTATTTAAAATCACTTCCAAATAAAATTCATGTATCTTTACTTTTCTTATTTCTAAGCTCTGAATGTTAATTCATAAATAGAATGAAGAAAGCTTAATTTCTCTTGTCAGTATAGTCTACAGTTCATCCTTGAACAACACAGGTTTGAACTGTGTGGGTCCATTTATATGCAGATTTTTTCCTATAAATACATACAGTACTGTAAATGGATTTTCTCTTCCTTTTGGTTTTCTTAATATTTTTTTCTCTAGTTTGCTTTATTGTTAGAATACAGCATGTAATACATATTATATACCAAATATGTGCTAGTTGATGGTTTATGTTATCAGTAAGAATTCTAGTCAACAGTAGGCTATTAGTAGTTAAGTTTTGGCGGAGTCAAAAGTTATACACAGATTTTCCACTGTGGGGGTGGGGTCAGCACCCCTAACCCCTGTGTTTTTCAAGGGTTAGTTGTATAGGATTCTTACTTGTTTAGATAGCACTAAACACATTTGTGCCACTAAGTACCATGTATTAACTCACTTAACTCATTTAACCTTCACAACAATCCTCTGTGATATAGAGGATTGTTTTTATTCTTATTTTACTTATGAGGAAACCAAAATACACAGAGGTTAAGTATATGCCCAAAGACACACAGAGTAGCAAGTTGCAGAGCTTGCATTTGAACTTAGGCGTCTGGCCCCACAGTTAGCCTTCTCAGCTCCCATACTATATTGCCTTAAAAATGTAGGCTTTGCCATAAATATCTGTAGAAAGAAAATAGCATTTTTTTATTCCTTAAAAGATCAAATGTTTCCAAGTATGTTATATTTACATTCTTTGGAAACCATTGCCAGATGAACAATCTGTATATAAAATTGGAGAGCATTTATTGTTTTTAAGTAATCTCTTGTCTTTCCTGCCTTTGTTCCCTATTTTTAGGTTAAAACTTTCCTGGAAAAATGCCATATCTTATTATTTTCTGTGTTTCTGACTAAAAACAAACTGAAAGAGAGCAAAGAAATTGCCATAGGTTAACCAAGTCATAGGAACAAGTTATTGTGTCACAGTGACAGTGTCTTGTTCCTGCTCCTTGTGGCCCGCCCTTTTACTAATGCTCATCCTCCCAGTTGGCCACCCTCCAAAAGGTCCTCTGGTTCTCTCTCATGCTTCACATCTCATCGGCTATCAAGTCTTATCCTCTTTTTTTTAAACTCTAATGTTTTTTTACATTCACCCACCTTTATTTCTCCACTCCTACTCCAATGCGCCCTCTTTCCTACGTGCAATGTCATTAGCCTTCTAACCCTTTCTTTAATGCATTTCACCTACTTGTGCTTCTGAAGGATGAATATCACTTTGACCTGTCATCCTCCTGCTGAAGATTCTCCCTATTTCCCCATTCCTTACCAAGTACAGCTAACCATATTTAGCAAAAGGACAGGCCCCGCAGTCCCTCCAGCACCCTCTACTGACAAAACCTACCACTGCGTTTATCTTTCCAGGGAACCAGCTGTTGGTGTTCATTTTCTCCATTGTGTGTTGTCCCTTTCATCAGCTTCTGCTTCTGTCTAGGTTGGTTCTTTCTTTTACTTGGGGTTTGTTTTGCTCCTCCTATCCTAGCTTCTTCAGGTAGAGTTGTAGATGTTTTTATGTCTCTGCTGAAACCCCCTGTGTTGTCTGTCATCAGCACATCTTCCTTTCCCTTCTGAGTACAGTCCTGGTAGACTCGTCGAGTTCCTGCCTGATAGATAATCGCAGCATCTGAGTCATTGCAGAGTTGGCGTCTGTGGACTGTTTATTCCCTTGAGAATGACTTCTTATTTTTCTGGCTCTTGTCTTGTTGAGTAATTTTGGATTGCATCCTGGACATTGTGAACAGAACGTTGTCGAGGCCCCGCGGTCTCTTAACGTTGCTTTAGAGTGCAGCTCCGAGAGCTTTAGCAGGCGGTGGACTTGGTTAGGCTCAGACTGCAGGCTGCCACATCCGCAGCGGGCGGCAGCTCACAATTCAACCCTTCGAGCCCTTGTTACGGGCATTCGTGGTCCCAGGGGTCAGTCAAACACTTGAGATAGTGAGTGCACTTTATTTATTTATTTATTTATTTATTTATTTTTTTAAGTATATCTTTATTGATTTCAGAGAGAGGAAAGGAGAGGGAGAGAGAGCGATAGAAACATCAATGATGAGAGAGTCATTGATCAGCTGCAGCCCGCAACCCGGGCTTGTGCCTTGACCGGGAATCGAACCCTGATTGGCTGGATCCTAGGTCAACGCTTAACCGCTGAGCGACACCCGGCCGGGCAAGAGTGCACATAATTTAGAGGTTCTTCTCTGCCTCTCATTTTTCTGAAACCCCTACACACTTCAGTGATTCTGGTTCTTCCACGATGCCCTGTCTACTCTGATTCCAGTGGCCAGAAAGATGGCAGGGTTTTTTCTCTCTCAGGGTTTCAGCTGTCCCAGGCCACTGCCCTTCGGTAAAGTAACCAAAGAATAGAAACACCCTCTGTGGGATGCTTGTTCAACTTTCAACTTCTTCCCCAAATCTGCCTGTCTTTGCTCACACTTCAGGCCCTCAGGCGGTTGTATTTTGTCCACAGCCTGTAGCCGTTCCTTTCAGGAGGATCAACATAAAAACTTCTCCCTCCCTAAAATCAACTCCTTTCTCCTGAGTTGATTTCCCCTCCTTCCCTCCCTCCCGCCTTCCTTCCTTCTCTCCCTCTCTCCTTGCCTGAGTTTCCCCTCCTGCTTTCCTCTCTCTCAAGTTCACTGCTGTTGAGCCCTGCTATATTTTAAAGTGTTGTTCTCAGGGAGCAGTCTTAATTCTGAGTTATCAGCAGACTCCTCATTATAGCCTCCAAGTCCTATAAGCCTGTGCTCAAAAACCTTGTAACTAAAGGCATAACATTGCCTTGTCCATTACAAAAATCACCACCACTTAATAATGCCTGCTATGCATTAGACACTATGCAAAGTGCTTTATGTTGGCAGTTTCATTTCATCCTCACAGTGGTTGCTTGAGGGTGGTGATGGTGTCTAGTATCCCTACTTTACAAATGACAGACAGACTGGATTAGCTGAATTGTCCAAGGTCAACGAGGTGATACATGGTAGAAAAAGAAATGGAAAACCATATGCCTTTTATACCTGTTTTATAAGCGAAAGCAAATACATACTCCAGTTAAGTTTTCATGTTAGTTTTATTTAATTTGAAGCCTCAGCATTATATAAAATAGATCACTCAGTGACTTTTATGAAACCTGGGAAGTCTGAATCATTCATATGCTTTGGACCAAATTTGGTAAGTCATCCACATAGACCAGTTTCTTCAGCATTAATTATTCCAGGGAGGAATTACGTTAAATTCTCAACTCGACAAAATTATTTCAAAATATCATTGCATCCTGATGTGCTTTTTCAGTAGATAATGTAGTCCCAATGTCTTAATTTAGAAGTGATCGTTAACCTGCCAATCGCACACATGGTCTTTTAATGGGTTTGGCTCAGAAGAGGTGTGTGTGTGTCTCTCCTGGGGTTGGTCCTGGGGATGTGTTTCGGCTCAGACATGGCATAGGGGTTCTCTTTAGCTTGTTTTATTCAGAGGCTGGGGAAAAATTAAACATTGGGGTTTAGATATTTACATTTAGCCCTGAAGACATAAAATGTGAATAAGCCAGTTAGTTATTGTAGTTTGACATTTCCAAACATTTTCTTTCAAAGGCCTATTCAGGTCCCTGTTTTCACTTTCCAGTGAAAGCTCTTCGATTTTTCACTTTTCCAATTAATTAGAGGCATTTTGGAGGCAGAGGCCAAACTGTGTTCCCAGTCCCAGCAAACTGCTGGGTACCAGTCAACATTCAGGTGTTAGATGAATCACTGGTAGATGAAGGCATTTAGAAATATGGCAGCTTATAGTAGCTCTGCTTCTTGACTTGTTATAGGATCTTGGACAAATCATTTTGCTTCTGTGTTTTTTTAAATTAAAAATGTGGAAGCTACTCCTTTATAGCAATATAGGAAGAGTGTTCATTGAAATAAAAGTGCTGTTGTTAGTGAGATAATTTTGCACTTGTATTTAGCATCCAGATGTTCTTAACCTGTACCTCTGGCTTATTAGACATTTCGTAGCATAGAGTTAGAGATACCAGGAGCAATGCCCATACACCTGTGTGTTCTAACAATGGGTGTTGGCCTGGACTTTGGTTGGTCTCATTGGTTTAGATACATTCCCAAGGTCTGACTGATGTCTACTATGACCTGGTTGTGCCTTTAACTATTAAAAGGAAATTGGTCAGTTTACCTTGAGTGAACATCATTATTCAGCAGTCTAGTTTTGTGTGTGATTTTTTTCCAAACATTTATTTTGGAGTAACTTTAGACTTGTAGAAAAATTGCAAAAATAGAGTTCCCATAAGCCACTCACCCGTCTTCTCCTAACATTAACATCTCACATAACCATAGTTCAGGTATCAAAACCAGGATGTTAATGTTGGTACAACATTATTAAGTAAACTGCAGACTTTATTTAAATTTGACCAGCTTGTCTGCTGCTGTCTCTTTTCCCTCTGCTCCAGGATCGGGCCCAGGGTCTGACATTACACTTGGTTGGTGCGTTTCTTTAGTCTCCTTTCATGTGTGATGGTTCCCCAGTCTTCATGGTCTTTCATGATACTCTTGAAGATTATTGGTCAGTTTTTTTATAGGATGTCTCTTAATTTGGGTTTGTCTAGTGATTTTTTGTGATTAGGCCGAGGTTAGGCATTTTGGGCAGGAATGCCACAGCAGTGGTCCTGTGTCCTTTTGTGCACCACATCAGGTAGAACGTGATGTCAGTAAGTCTTATTACTAGTGATGCTAACCTTGATTACCTGGCTAAAGTGGTGTCTGGTGGGTTTCTCCACTGTGGAACAGAAAACTTAAGAATATGCACACGTGCTCTTTTTCCTCAAGCTCTCACCACTAATTTAGCACCCATCGCCTGCAGTTGTTATTACTGTAATGTCTGTCTATGGTGATTTTTCTATTTCTCTCTTTCCTTCAATATTTATTAACTGGAATTCTGTAAAGAAGATCTGTCCCTTCTCCCTGTTTTTTAATGTATTCAGTTATTTATATCAGTATGGATTCATGGATGTTTATTGTATTCTGAGTTATAAATCTAATGCTATAATTACTTTGTTGCTCAGTTTGTTTCAGCTCTGGCCATTGGGAGGTCCTTCACATTGGTTCCTGTGTCCCTTTGACACACCCCATCCTTGTTTAAGCACTTCCTTTCTGGCAGCACAGGATGCTTCAGGCTCATCTCATATTTTCTGTCTTAGCTATGGAATCAACCACTTCTTCATGGAGCCCCAGATCCTTTTAGTGGTTATTAAATTGATTTTCAACAGAAGTGCCAAGGCCATTTAGTGAGGATAAAAACATATTTTCAGCAAATGATGCTGGAACAACTAGATATATGTACAAAAAGACATAAAGAACCTGACTCTTCCTTACCTCATACCATGCACAAAAATTAACTTGAATGTATCATAAGACCTCAGTGTAAAAACTGAATCCATGAAATTTCCAGAAAAGAGCATAGGAGGAAAATTTTTGCAGCCTTAGAGTAGGCAGAGATTTCCTAGAAGGACACAGAAAGCATGAACTATAAAAGAAAAAAGATGAATTGGAATGCATCAAAATGGAAAAGTTCTGTTCTTCAGAAGGCTCCATTAAAATGAAAAGACAATCTGCCTTCTGAGAAAAATTTTTGTGATACATATATCTAACAAAGGACTTGTATCCACAAACATAAAGAATCTTAGTCAATAAGGAGACAGAAAACCCAATTTTAGCGCATCTTTAAACAGACATTTCACAAAGGAAGATATATAAAATGGCCATTAAGCACATACAGAGATGTTCAACATCATTAGTCTTCATAGCAGAGCATACCACTAATATAGATAAAATGAGAAAGATTGACAGCCCAAGTGCTGGCACTAATGGCAAGCATTTGGAATTCTCATACATTGCTAAACAGAATGCAAAATGGCACAACACTTTGGAAAACTAAGGCATTTTTTAATCAAGTGAAATACACCTTTAACCATATAACCAAGCAAGTCTATAACATCAGTTCACAGAAAAGATTTTCACTCTAATGTCCAAAACAGCATTATTATAATAACCAAATTGGACACTACCCAAATGAGCATGAGTAGGTGAATGGGTAAACACATTCTGGTATGTCCACATAATGGAATACTACTTGGAAATAAAACAAATTATTAACGCAGGCAACACCATGGATAAATCTCAGAAACGTGCTGAGCAAAAGGAGCAGATTGAAAAGTACATATTCTTTATGATTCAATATATATGACATTCTAGAATAGGCAAAACTAATACCTTATAGTGACAAAGCAAATCAGTGGTGCCCTGGCCGGTGTGGCTCAGTTGGTTGGAGTTTTGTCCCATACAACAAAACGTCAAGGGTTTGATTCCCACACAGGGCACACACCCACGTTTTGGGTTCGTTCCCCAGTCAAGTGCATAAGGAAGGCAACCAATCGATGTTTCTCTCTCACCTCAATGTTTCTCTCTCCCTCTCTGTTCCTCTCTAAGATCAATAAAAGCATATCCTTGGGTGAAGGTTAAAATAAATAAATTGAATGAATGAATGAGTGAGTGAAATAAAAAGTAAGCAAATCTACTTGGTTACCTGGAAGTAGAATGTACGGTAGAGATTTACTGATGCGGTACCTAGTACTGTTGGAGGCTCACCAAGTTGTGTCGCTGGTGGTCTTCCTAGATGTGTGGTCATCCTATGATTTCCTTAATTTTGTCCTTCTGTTTGTTTTCAGGTGGATCTATCTTAATGACCAGAATTTATGCATCCCTGCCAGTTCCTCTTTTGTTTATGGAGCTGTACCCATAGGAGCCAGTATTTATGTTATCGGAGATCTTGACACAGGTAAGAATGTTATGATGATTTTTGTCAGAACTGTTTCCTAGTGACTCTGAGGCATGTTGTATCACCACTGCTTATTCCTGTGGTTTAGGTACCAATTATGACTACGTGCGTGAGTTTAAAAGGAGCACAGGAACCTGGCACCACACTAAACCACTCCTTCCATCTGACCTTCGCCGCACCGGGTGTGCAGCCTTACGTATTGCAAATTGCAAGCTCTTCCGCCTGCAACTTCAGCAGGGCTTATTCCGTATCCGTGTGCATTCACCTTGAAGAGGAAGCAGAGCAGAAGCAGAGCTCCTGACCAAGTGCGCCCTAGTGTGGCTTTATGTGAGGGGGACAGAGACGGCAGCCCAACCTTGCTCTGCGTGCCGGGCTTTGTATGGTAACTCGGGTGGTTTTATAATGCTTAGACGCTTGAGCTTCAGCTCTTGTTTGGGAGAACACATAACTGGTGAAAAACTGCCTGGGAGGAATCCGTTCCTCCAGCCAGATGTGTCTATAGGACAAATGGAGGCTAGTCAATGTCAAAAGGAAGGGGAAAGTGAGACTCGGTATAATGTAAAATATTGAAGTTAAAATACTAAGGTGCACTTTCCCTGAAGGGAACTCATATCTGACTGCTGTGTACCTGGCTTTGGTAAACAAACAAACAGAACTCCGTATATGCAAAGCAACATATCCAAACATACCAAGACTGCTTTCTACTGCACTTGGAAGGAAATATGCCTAACCTGCCCAACAAATTAAGGATTGTGCCTAAAATGTTAGATTGGACTGTATGCCAGCTAGTCTCCATTTACTACTAGTATTCTGTGCTAAGAATCTTTTTTAAACTATATTATGATGAATTGAAACTAAGATAAAATTTCTCTTTGATGATATTCTATCTTAGTAATGTTAAAGACTCAATAAGTTAATGAGTCCGGTTGCAGCCCTCATGTGAATTTAAAGAAGTTGCTAACTTCTGTGTTAATTTAGATTAAGGTACATCATGCCGTAAGTTCTGGGGCAGTACTCTTGGAGTTGTGAAGGGTCTCAGCAGTGCCACTCTTCCTTTCAATTCATCAAAACCATCTTATAAACATGAGGCTATTGGAGAGGAGGAGATTTTATAAAAGAAAGACCTGAGCCAGGCAAATAATAAAGGTCTGCTGTGACTAAAAAGAAAAAAACATAAAAAACTGTCCAGGCAAAATATAAGGGGATCAAAACTTTTTTAAAAATATCTGTCTGAAAGCACACAAAGTCTTGTTTACTACTGTTTAGGATCTGAAAACCTGTCTTAGAATGCGAACATGTGTTCAGAATCTCGTCTTTGTAGAATTATTTTCTCAGTGCCGTTCACTAGTAAGAGTTTTAGACAAATGACGATAAAGTTTGGCTGGTAGAATAAACTACCTCAACTTAATTTTATTCTGTTCATAGTAGAGCAAATTAATCTTTTTCTCCTTTCCTATCTCTCACCCCCATGCCACTCTCCCAACTTCCTATTGGGGGACAAAGTCTGTCATTAGTAGCATTTATCTTTTAAGGGATTTTGTTTCCCATTCAAATTATACCACCTTAGTGTGAAATCAGGGACTTCAAAGTGCTTGATTACTTCATCATTTGAATTTTATGCAATATCAGATTTCTAATCAATTTAATATAGAATTCTTCATTTTTAATTGTTTTCTACAGCTTTTTTCTTTCCCTCTCCTAGAATATGGCTCTAAGACGCAGCATTTTGTCTTAAAGATTAATGTATAAATGTATCCTGCAGTTGTAAGTTTGAGAACAGGAATTTCTTTAGGAAATTTCTATCTGGAATGTTTGTATGCTATTAACATGCATATGAAATGTCGCTTGTGTTTTCCCACCATAAACAGAAAAAAGAGTGAGAGTTTTTGTTGTTTTCCTAGTACCCATTAGAAGTCAACACAATGCTTTAAAAGTTGCTAAAGGGAGCCTTGCCCGAGGGGGTTCTAAAGAATGTTATGTGTGGTACATTACTCTCTATCCGGGCAAAAGAGTTTGGTACAGGAAGGTACGGGGTTTTTATCTTCTCTGTCAGGGCACGAGGCCAGCTTTGCCACACGTTTGTGTAACGCAGTGAAATTGAATCTGTAAATCAAGGACAGTCTTTTTGCTGTGTTGTGTACCAGTCAGCTGTTGTCCACACACTTTTCTCAATGCTACTTTGGATATCTTTTCATCAGAGCAAGCTCCATGGCCACTGCAAAGAACGAAAACTTGCTTTTTACAATTAGGTGTCAGTTTAGAGAAGACAAATTGCTGAAAAAGTGAATTTTCTTTGGTAAAATATCTTGTACAAAACACAGCTTTTGACATTCGGAAGCTGCAGTTGCAGTACATTAAAGTAGTAATTGATATCTTATTAAAGTCACGACAATCAGCAGTTCTCTCTTTTTTTAAATTTCTGAAGTTTAAAATTCTTCCTAGTCTATGCCAGGCCTTTCCAAGGAGACAGTTCATTGTCTAGGAGTGAATGGATCCCTGTTGCAATACTGTCAGTGCCTGCATGACTTGGTCAGTTCATTTTATAAAGTTGTTTTTTTAGATTCAGTTTGTTGACACTATAGCTGCAGAAATTAGGGAATGTTTTATAAAATAAATTTGCCACATAATATGGGATGCAACAACCAACAAAAGCTGCTAAGTGCCAAACTGTTTTTTACTATATATAAATATAAAAATATTATGTTGAAGTGTAGGGATGTATTTAACTTTATTATGTTCCAAAATTAATTGTGACTTTTTTTGTAAATTACAGTTATTTCAGTATTGTGAAATAAATTTTAATTCATTTCATGCAGGTTTGTGTTTTAACATTCCACTTATGACTTGAAACATCTTTTCTTGATAAATTTTTGATACTTTTTCCAGAAGGCACTTTTATCAGGCGTACGTTGGAATTGGCGGCTGAGGATAGATCTTAAAATTTTAAATACAATTATCTTTGGGGGAAGTGCAATTTATTCTCATTATCCCACCAACAGAAGGAAAGTTGTCTCAGGTTAGAATAAATTCGTGAATATTTAAAGGATTTCTCCTACGCTACAGTCTAAAGTAGGTTGGTTGGTTTGTTTCTTTGTTTAACACATTGAAATGTAGATTTTTCAAAGATTTTTAAGTGTTTAATTTACAATGAAGTTTTGTGTGTTTTTTTGTGATAGTGCTTATATCCTGTGAGAGGAAAAAGTGTGAGAAGGGAGGTGAGAGAGAGCGAGTGTGTGTGTGTTATGTGAATTGGTAAGTCTGTTTGTGTATGTTTACTTTTGAATTGTAGTTCCAGACTACATATATTACTGTCTCCTGGTGCTTCATATAAATTCTTGAGCCTGTGGCCCTTCAGTTTATATACTACTGTGTTAAACTCATGTTGAGTGTAAATATTGATATATTTGTAGTTTAGTTTTTCTTGGTGTTTGCATTTCTTTTCTTTAGTGGGATTAAAAACAATGTTTACCAACTAGTAGTTGGTATGCTATAAAGATTTGGCCTAAGAAATTTCTAAATTCATTGTGTATTTCATTAATTCATTATTTCATTGCTGTGAGGAGTTAGTAGCTAACAGTAAGCTTTTTTCAAATTATAACAACCAAAAAAGAGCATTGGGGGATGTGGGACGGTGTGTAGTCAGTACTGAAGAGTTCTATTATATTGCACTACTTTTAATGATGGCACTTTCTTCAGTGGTGCTTTAGAAGTGCCTTTTTAATCATTTATAAGTATGGGGGGTTCCCTAGGCAATGTACAGGAAATACATTCTTTATATTGACATGGTGGCAAGTTAGGTTTTTAGAGAAATGTGTTAGCTGCCTTGGTCCATTGGGGTTCCACTTGATGTGTTCCCACTTCAGTGTACCAACCAGGATCCCCAAAATGTTTTCCAGAGACCACTAAAAACAGTGCAGAATTACCTTCCAGAATGTTGGCTTTGTTGATTCAAGAGGAGGCCTCCTGTGGTCCAATGAAGACATTTGATTATCTGGGGAAAGAATAAGGTACTCTTACACTGCATACTGCATCGATGTCAAAAGTGCAGGGCTCTCTTAAAAAACACCTGGTGGAAGGAAAGGGTGAGGCTGCCCTTGTTCAGTGGCTGCCCCTCGTCGAGCCTATGAGCCTTGGGGAGGCCAGTGAGAGTGGAGACTCTGATTAGTGCAGAAAAGCCTGCCCTGGGTCTAATCAACAAATGTTTATTGAGCACCTACTAAGAATTCTACCTGGATTTCTGGAGAGCTTAAGAGTGAGGCAGATGTAACACTACCGCCCCCACCCCCCGGATTTGTAAAACTGTGGGCAGAGGCCCTACTTGAGTCATCTGCGAATCCCAGTGCACACAGTAGGCAGTTAATAAATGTTTGACCGGTGAATATAGTATGCTTTGATCAAAGTGATGTTCTTCACAGGATTGAAAAGTACGCCCCGAGAGTGGCTTAAAATTTTGCTGGATTTTAAATGAGAAAGTTTGTGGACAGATGGCTGGGCTCATAATATAAAGTGGGAAACTAGCAAAGAGCAAAAAATACAAAGTGCCTGATATCTTATGCACAGCTCTGTGGTCTCCGCATGCTCTACAGAGTTTCCAGACCCTCTGCTCAGCATGCTAATGGCGTTTATCACACTTACTGTTGGGTTTTATTTATTGCTTTTTATGTGGGACTCGGAATCTTTTCTAGAGCGTACTGCTTTGATCCTCGCATCTGTGCAAAGGGGCTGTGCTCTCCTCTGGACAGAAAGTAGTCAAGGCCCTGTAGGCGCAGCTTCGCTCCACCGCAGATGTGAGCAGAAACCAAAAGCAGAATCCAGCCCTTCAGATTATCCTTTCGCCGTTCCGCCTATTAGACTATCGCTTAATTTTTAGGTATAGAAGGATTTTTATAATCATATAATAATCATTAAACCCCCAAAACATACTTTTTGCAAGTTGCACAGATATAAGATGAAAGGTCTGTAGTTTTCTTTGTCAGTTAGATGTAGGAAATTTTTGAATTTACTAAGTTTGTAAGAACAGAAATAAGTGTGTTTAAAAGAGAAGCTGCTTCTGCTTTAAAGCACCAAAGCTTCATCGATACTTCCCTTTCTTGCCACATGGGATCAGTACGGGGGAAAAAATAGTGTCTTAGAATGTTGAGGAAAGTGTTCTGCTAGCTTTTTAATAATCCCTGAAGTATTCTTTATAGCCAGTTCAGAAATTATAGAAATTTGTGGTATGAAGGTGAGGAATAACCCATTTGCCCACGTTTGAGAACGTGAATTCAGGTTGAGAGTTTATCCTGCCTGCTGGCAGTGAAGTCTCAACAGTATTGAGCTATAGATGTTTTCTTTACTTTTTTTTTTCCAGCCCTCACCCAAGGATATTTTTCCATTTTTTTCCCCCAGAGAGTGGAAGGAAGAGAGAGAAACATCAATGAGAGGGAGACACATTGATTGGTTGCACACGGGGATTGAGCCTGCAACCGAGGTACATGCCCTTGACTGGAATCGAACCCGAGACCCCTCAGCCTGTGGGCCAATAACTTTTTAAAAAATTGGTATTTTTCAGAAGGAACTGTTATTATTTTCATTTTAAACATACCAACTTTGTCTCTTTGCAAAAGTTCCATTTATGTGACATCTAAGGTGCTCAGTTATGACTATATTCTTTAGGAAAGTTCTTTCTTAATTTTATCTTTAAAGTTCTCTACGTGATTGGATTTTTAAATTTCATCTCTTTCAGATTACCTGATAGCAAAGTTTTAGAGAAATATCTAAAACAATGTCACAATTATCTAGTGAGAAATGTCTGTTGCTTTCTCTTTTGTTTTAAAATAAAAACTAATCTTTTTAAGTTGCCACCCTACAGAAATTTTGGGCTAGTTATAATTTTTTATATTAATGTCCTCATGTCCCAACAGAGTTGTAAATTCTTCTGTCACTGTGCTGTGAATTAGAGAAGGTCCAGGTAGGAGGAGGGCGACAGCCCAGACTCTGGACACACACAGCATAAGATGAAATAGGAAGACGTGAGCCAGTTCATAGGACCCTTGTAATAAGCGGCCACTTCAAGTCATTCAGATCCCAAGTCCTTGTAGGTTCATCTTGCTTTCTGGTTGGAAAATTATATTTATTAGAATTTATTTTTAGCATTTCAGTACAAAATTGTAGGTTTTATTCTTATTCATCAGTTGCAGACAAGGTGTACCTAAAAACCTTAGGTCATACTTTCTTAAGTTAAACCAATGAACTTGGTTTAAATGTGACTAAGCGAAGCTTGCTTTACCATGTTTCCTGTTTAATTGGATGAGAATTACATGCACTTATTCCCTTGGTCTTCGTGTTTATAGGAAAGCTCTGTTCTCGGCTACCTCATTATGTGGTGTTGTGCTTGATCCCCTGCCAGTTTAGAAGAATTCAACACATTCTGTCCTTTGACAAAAGCCTGGAAGCAAGCAGTAAGCGGCCTTGAGGAATACAATTCCCTAAGGCGTATTTTCCATTTTACTGCTTTTTTTTTAAATAGGCACTTTTAATCAGGAGGAACAGTCATTCTCCTGGAGCTGCTGCAAAGTGATTACTTGAAACTCAACTTGAACTTTAAAGAGTCTTTAAAAGACTATGTTTTCATAACTTAGAAAAGTAGTATATTTAAACACCACTGCTGTGTAAAATAGAGAGCTTCGTTTCCATCCTGTTAGGTTCAGATAGGAAGTTTGTCTATCTGTAATTTGACCCATTGTTTGGAATTTAGATGCCCCGGGCTACTATTTTTTATTTTCTGTAAGGTGCTATCATGAACAGTTTAAGAATCTATTAAATGCATTTTCAAGAATTTGTTTCCCAAGAATCTTTAATTTTGATGAAAATCTAGGCTCATTACTAGAGTCTTCTTCTCTTATAGTTCTGATAACCTGGGGTTTTAAAATGCAACTCTGACAATGTTTGCCAGGTACAGGATTGAGGTTGGCTGAACAACGTAGAATTGCATTATACTTAAAATTGTGAGTGATCCGATTTGTTCCTGTGTCAGTGAAATGTCCCTACCTTCCTCCTGTGTGTGCCTTCTCCACCAGGCACATGTTGGGCGCTGTCAGCTTACTTGGGTGGTAAGTGAGGGGGAGCTGTGAGGCCCGTCAGTTCTGTAGACAGACCTTCCCTTTCAGGAGTGATTTCTTATGGGAATTACCCACTATCCCTAGTGCCCAGAAGCATGATGCCCATTCCTAAAAACCGAGCATACTACGAATAACTTATGTGGGAGGTAAAAATCTAAAAACTTAACCATCCTTATGCTTTAATAAAATTTCATTTTTACGCTGTGCTTTTTTTTTGTTTGGTTATTTTAGAGAGAGGAATGGAGAGGGATAGAGAGCTAGAAACATCGATAAGAGAGAATCATCAACCAGCTTCCTTCCTGCACACCCCCTACTGGGGATTGAGCCCACAACCCCTGCCTGGGAATTGAACCAGTGACCTCTTGGTTCATGGGTGATGCTCAGCCACTGCGCCACACCAGGCTTTTTGCAGGGCTGACAGTAGAATGGCAGTTTCTCCTCAGGTGACAGCAGGTCAGCACCCTGTGGATATGCAGCAGGCCGAGAGACATTTCCTTAGTGGTTTCCAAGAGAACCAAGGCTTACCCCTTTAAAGCCTCCAACTTTATTGTAATTATTTTGAGGAAAACATCCGCAAACATTTGATGTACTTTCCTAAGCAAAACGAGTGGTATGAGCAGACGTGGGCTTGTGGTGCCAGGTGCATGTGGGGCTGAAGACGCCCACCTCTGGCGGCTTGGACCTTCAGAAGCCCTTTAACTCTGGAGCTTGGTTCCTCCCTGTGGAAGGGGGATAAACGGACAAGGCTGCTGTGAGGATTAAGTGACATGATGAAGGGGAGAACTTGGGCTGGTTGGTGCCTTGCACACAAACGGTGGTGGCGGTTATGACCGTGGCTGCTGTGACCACTCATCTCAGCCTGTGGTCATTGATTATGTCAGCTCCTGTGGGGTAGGGGCTGCCCCCACTGAATATCACTGGCCTTAGTGCGTTTTTCTTTCTCATGTCTGCTGCCACGTGATATACAAGTATATATTCGTGTCTGTAAGATTATGTACCTTCTGGACCTGTGCTACCACTCTCCTTCTACTCCTCTGATATTTAAATTTAAAGTGATTCTGGATAGCTGACACATCCCAAAATATGTGTTTAGAATACTTAGAGTTGTTATGAATAACCCTCAATTCAGAATTTGCCTAGTGAAGCCCTCTAATAATACTTAAAACTCTTTACCAAACTTGAATTTTTCTCTTTTCCCTAAAATATCAAAAGTAGTAGACTATATTGGTCAAATAAACTGGATATTTTCTAGATCTCTGTCTGAGATCAGTAGACCTAAACTATGCAATGCAAAATTTAAAAACAAGCAATCAAAATTTGTTACACGTGTGTGTGTGTGTGCGTGTGTAGAACTTCTGTACCTTCAAATAAAGAAGGGTTATTTAACAAAGAGATACAAAAGTGAGCTACTTAATCCTTGTATCCTTTTATAATATCACTTCCTTTTCACTTCAGATTATGGGAGTGGTAGATTTGTCAGTATGTGATGTGCTCCACTATTTTGATTTCCATAAGACATTTGATAAAGTCATTCTTAATATCTTCATGAATGAGAAAGGGAAGTAGAAATAGGGTTGAAAGGGCTGAGAAATTGTTGAATAGCCACATGCAGGCGGTATTGAGAAGGGGGCCTTGTCAGTGTGGACCGAGTCACTCTAACAGTGTCCAGTTTTAATATTTTCATTAGTCACTTGTATAAAAAATAAAAGGCCAAGTGCTGGGAGGGGTTAAGTGTTGGATCTGTAGTGCTCTTTATAGTCTAATAAAATGGCTAAATATAAATAAGTCTTCTGTCTAGGTTCAGAAAAGATAATTCCTCATTGAAAAGGAAAGAAATTGGTGGAGTTGGGGGTAGATCATTGATAATTTGAACATAAGCCAACTGTTTAAAAAAATAACAGCATGTGTTCATGTGGGGGCTGGTAGCTAGAAAAGGAAGTCTGTTCGGCTACTTTCATCTGCCCACAGACTGCATAGCTAGGCCCCTGGACCACTGCATTTAGCTGCCAACTCCAGGCACCACAGTTGTGGAGACCTGAGCAAGTCTGGAGGCCACCCGAAGGATGGCAGCCAGAGTGGTGGGCAGTGGGGAAGCTGTAACCAGAACCTTTGAGAGCCTGAGGCTCTGGCTGCAGGGAAGTCTTTAGAAGGGCACATGGGTGTGCTCCAGAGTGCCCGGCTCAGGCCAACAGGCAGAATTCTGTTGTCAGTTTGGAACTTTCAGATAGAATTGCCTCGTGATAAATTGGGTGCTTCTGTGGTCCTGAACGCTCACCTCTGAAAGTACCCCCAAGGGTGACTCCCTGCAGCTATGACTAGGCCAGTGAGAGAATTCCTGCGCTATGGCAGGATGTTGGTTACGATCTCTAAAGCTCTTTGCAAACAAGAGGTTCTGTGAACAGTTAGTAAAAAAGAAAAAAAATGTTTGTACTTTAACTTTTACATTGTCTTTGAGGAGGGGAGTCTGGGTTCCTTTAACCAGTACTCTCCCCTGTTCTTCCCTCTCCTCCATTCCTCTCTACACGCCAGTTCACCGTCTCTGGCTTGCGGCCACTGGCTACAGCTGCCTTCAGCAGGACTTTCACAAATGTGTTTCTAGAGATTTCCCTAAAGCTATATTGTCAACTAGAACAGTAGTTCTTGCTTTTTCTCTACTTTTTGTTTTAAACCTCTTAGTACCTCTGCAGATTTCAGAAATCTGATAAGTAAAAATTATATTCTATCCTTTGAGAAGAATTTCCACAGGGCCCGGTTCCTCATGGTTTGTCTCTCCCTCTTCTGTGAAGGCGCCGTTCCATCCGCCCTCAGCCGAGGGAAGGGAAGGCACACCGCTGTGTGTCTCCCAACCCCGCTGCCTCATGAAAGATGTGCCCTGAATCGAGGGAACAGTAAGCTGGGACACGCACCGCAGTCCTCGGGAGGGAGCCATCTGTGCTTTTCTTACTCGTGTTTTCTCCCCATTTCCTAAGTCGTCTTGAACCCGTGATGTTTTTCTTCCATGTCCCATTGCAGCTACCCAAAGGTTCTGCTAGGTGGACTCTGAGCTAGGCGGACTCTGAGAAAGCAGGCCCTTCCAACAGTTGGCACTTCTTCCTGTGCCAGTGTAGGGACTTCGTCAAGGCGGGAGAGGCTGTTGTAGTCACATTTAAGGGTACTGTCTTTACACACTTTTCTTGGCAACCCCATTCCCACCTTGCCCCGTTCCTAATCCCATACCTCTCTTAGCCTGGTTTTTTAACTGCTTGAATTACGTATTAAAAAAAAAAAAGGAGGGCGGACTCTTCTAGTTCCCCAGACCA